GGCATATTTGTACACTTGGTCCATTGTTGACCGAGTAACTGGAATTTTAATACGCCCTTGATGAATCGTGGAGAGAGAAGGTATCAGAAACTCCAGACAGAACTGACAGGAATGAGAAGTGACTTCATTATTTATTTCCAGGTTTTGAGCTCTGAAGTTCTCATGGTGTTCATCAGGCATATCTACAACATACAGGCATACCTTGCCTATCTTCTTAGGCATGAGCATTTCAAAGTGCTCTTTACTATCTGCTAACTGTACTCAGTTTCCCTTCTGCTCTCCAGCTTTCTTGCATTTACCTTCCTCTCACCAAATCACTGCTTTTTCTCTTTACAGAACACGATGGAACATGTTTCAGGTACAATTTTCTGGTAATGTGTTCAAAAAGCCTCCATAAAAATTCACTTTTACTATGATTGACAACTGTTCAAGAAGAACAGTCTCATAGGATGAATTTATGCACATTACCAATCTTTTCATTACTCAGTTATGGTACCTGTAATAAATATAGCAACATTAATGCTTAAAGTTATTCCTGACAGTTTTTGAAGACTTAAATAACAAGTTTCCTTTGTCAATCTAAACCACATGTTTACATTTATTCAACTATACAAAACCATGGTTAAATTACACTACCATTTTCTAAATCTTCCCCAAATCCCTGTTCTCATTACTTGCTATTTAGTGGCAAGGTTAAAAGGAGTCTCACTCTGAATGTACAGGATTTAGAATAATCTCATCTACCCAAATTTGCTGTAAACTTTAAATACAAGCAAAATTCACTAGATTTGCCTCTTCATAATAATAGGGATAAGCTTGCTTTTATAGTATGCATTTTTTCTAATTATATTCCACAGTTTCAACTTTTCTTCATAGTAAAGTATGTAAAGTTTTTCCCCTATGAAAAAATAAAACCTTAAGTATCTCTATGCTAACAACTATTTTTGAGTACTCTTTCCTACATATATACAGCTCTTCAGAAATCAAAATAACAAAGGGAACCACTTTATTCTTTCAATGTCACGAGCAAATGCATTAGAAAACAAGTGAGTTTTGACAACACTGGTTTCCTAAAGATTCAAAGGATTTCACTGCAACTATAGTAAGAGACATTTCCATTTTCTTTTCAAATACAAGGGAAAGAGCCATGTGATTTCTTTAGTACATGCTTATCATCATCACCTTTTTACCACAGAGTCAAAAGACTACTCCTGTAAGCTTTCTTCCACATTTAAGATAGCATATTGCTTCAACTTTTCCAAGAGATTGTGATAAGGACACATGTAGAAATTCCTCTGTATTTGACCTGTTATTGCTAAAAAAAAAAAAGGGGGGGGCATTTTTTTCCTGCCCACTTCTTTCTTTACAGTTCTTTAGTCAAATAAACATGTGCTCTTCTTTGTCACTAGAAATAAGTACTGTTATGATACATAATAATATCTAAGCTCCTAATATTTTTTTTTTAATTAACCATGAGAGAAAAGAGGCAGAAGAACAAGTGCTACTTCAAGATTACATACCTCCTGCTCCTCTATGCTAGGACTGCTCTACTTCAGTCTTTCACTAGTATCACTGGTAGCAATCCCCACTCCACCTCCCCAAAGTAGAAAAAGGTATACACTGGTAAACTTCCTCACATTCTTTACGTTTTCTTATTGTAAAGACTATATTTAACCCAGTCAAAAGCTGAATACTGATAAGTAACTGCAGGAAAAAATCTAAAAATCAGAACATCAAAGGAAGACACTATCATAGAACAAAAGTGAAGGAAAGACTGCTAAAACTATGACTTTCTTCCAAAGATGTGAAAACATAATTAAAAAACAGTGCTCCACAGCAACACAGTTAATTTGCATTTACAATCCAAGCTTAGATTTGGCAATTACAACTGTTCTGCAAAAAGTTACTCTTGACTTCTCCTTACTGAGGAGAGGGATGGGAGAAGAAAGAAGAAATCAGTATTAAAACCGATGCGTTCAGGGTTTCTGAACTGCAGCTCTTATATTTACAGTTGAGGAGCAAGACTGTTAAACTGAATTCACCTTATTGCCCTCAGATTAGAAAAAAGGTAAGCATAGATTAGAACTCTATGGTAATACCATAAAGAGACTAGCAAAGGAAAATTCTTATTGCCCTTTAAATGTAAGTTATCTTAAAGTAAGGTTTTTTTCCTTTTGCAGTTTTCCTTTCATGAGATAAATACACTTAGAATACATTGCTCCATCGTCTCTTAGGTGAAACAAATCAAAGCATTTATTTTCACCTCTTTGACATTTTCAAAAAAAATATGAATATATGACATACCTTATGCTGCAACAGTTCAACCCTGCATCAGCTAACAAATCTCTTTATGTTTAAGCCTACACATGTACAGCCTACCTGCTTTCTTTTTGTACTTCGCCAGATCTCCTCAATTTCACAAACTTCTGAACAGAACTGTCATTATTAATTCTCAGCAAGACACCTAAGCCACTATGAATCACTGCAGCAACTGGCAGCAAGTGTCGGCACTACTCTCACAATGCTTCAGAAATGGAGAGAAGTCCTAAAGCAACTAAAAGCTTTCAGTTAACCTACTGCTGACTTGGTTCTTGCACAAGCCTTCAGGCAACTTCATTAAATAAGAGAGCAAAGAAAAAACGTGCATTAGGGTGACATAACATTTCAGAAGCCAGAAATATTTCATTATTCTACCTCTCTAACACCAGGGTCTCAGCTCCATGCCACTGTCTCCAAGTAGGAACACCACACGGGCTGGAACTTTAGTTTCTCACACTTCATTAAAAGACTATTGAACAATTACGCCTCCCGTAACTGTCCACAGTAGAGTCAGGCCCTCAGAGTTTGTTCACTGAACATCAGGCATCAAAACTACTTGGCTCTAAACAAGAGGACAGATGACACATGTTGCACTCCTTCTTAAGACAGGCACTGTACAATGTAAGGCATTTATTTACTACGTAAAACTGCACATTTGTTCATACTGTGTGAAAATTAAATTGTTGAATATTTTCCCCATAAAACAATTCATAACAATTATTTTTCCTAAAGAGAAACGAAAGCGAGAACAGAAAAAAGGGCTTTGTGTAGTCTCTAAGATGCTGCTCGACTCTACATTGCTAAGCCACAGATGTCTGTCTATGCAACAGATTCCTTCAAATAAGAGGGAGTGAGCACTTCTTTGCATTGGGAAGTTGTGGTTATTTTCCCAGAACTCACATTTGCCATGATTGTTGCATTTGAGCAGCCATACTACTTTAACAACATTGTCATCTGGGACACTGGCAGTTCTGCAGTCCAGCAGTAGATATAACAAATATTTAAACTTGAACAATCATAAAGAAGTTCACTATTGTTGTTCTGACAATCAAACCCACAAAAATACAAGGAAGTAAACTGTACTGTGACTTCATATTGACTGTATTCACTGTGTGGTACAAGTGAAGTCAGAAACTTGTGTTTCCAAGTCTTTTGGAAACTTAACTCATGTTCATCCCATGGCAAGTGCATTTTAGTACCTTGAGCTGTAAGTGTCAGCAGAAAAGATACAGCTGCATTTCTAGTGATGGGTAATTTAAAATACATGTTAGCATAGACCACTCTGTAACACTAACTTTAAACAGTTGCAAATACAGGTTTAAAAGTTTTGGTAAGATGTACTTGCTTTCTTACACTGCACTCGCTATCTCACTGCCTGTCCGTGCTCATCACGTGAACAGGGAGTCAATATGACTTGCTTTGTGGCATCAAGACAAGCTAATTTTGAAATTACCATGGGCATCCAGAGCTTACCAGAGAATCTTGAAACAGCTTGCTGTGAGACATAGCCACATGCAGAGGCTCATGCTGGTTCCAGAGAATAAATCATCTTCAAGAGAGGCACGCTATCACACCAGCAAAACCTCAGGTTTTGTTGAACTAGTATTCTCATTAAAAAAATCATTTTCTTTATTATACTTACATGTTCCTTCATAGATTCACTGTTCCCCTACCAAAACATACTATAATTTTTTTAGTAAAATGAATTTTTAGATAAGTATTAACACTATCTGCCTGTTTTCTTATGAAAGGTAATTCTCAAGACAGAACACATTCAGCTAGGAACAGATGAACATAGATATCTAGATGTGACACTGATGCATTCTACCTATATTTCTACCTATGCACATGCTCTAAAATGTTTCACCTCTTCAAAGGTGTTGTCCATTGACCTAATTTGGTTCCATTATTGACACAATAAGCAATACAATTAAGGAACTGCTTAAGTCAGTTTACGTGGGAATGGGATGGAGTGGTGTATGAGGGATTTGCACGTGTTGCTGTTTTGGTTTTTTAAAAACAAAAGAGAGAACAAGTTTTGTAGATTTCTCAATGTTACTTATTTTTCTTGTAGTTACCTATAAAGCACATCTTCAAATTCAACAATCTTTCTTTTAAACATTCAGTTGTAACTATTACTCATACTTTAGACCTGTCAGAGAGAATTCCTACCAAATGGCAAACATAAGACAATTGTGGCATGATCTATCATGGTAAAAATACCCAACTAATTTCCAAGTTGTCTATCAGGTACCCATAACTGACATGAATTAGTTGGGCTAGACATGAAGAAAAATTCCAGCATACTCACCCATACAGACAGTATGGCCCAACTAAGACAAAATCTAGAGATGTGCCTAAACTAGAATGGTCTGGTTTAGAATAAGTTCTAAGATAATAATACAGGAAGTGACAAAATTCATCCATTTTCCCACCTCCCTTAAAATAAAACATTTGTTTCAACACAAGAAAAATTGCTATAGCTTCCACTGATTAAACGAGTTGCTTGTCTGATAGACTCACAATAACTCATCCTATCTTTTGTTGAGAAATCCAATAAAAATCAAAAATGTCTAGTTGACCACACTTATTTCTGCACTTAAAAATTTAGCAGCTCTCTTGGAAGATAGGAAAAGAGACATTTTTAAAACAGGGTGTTAAAAATACATCTGTTTCCCTACCTGTTTCTCACTCAGAGCTGTGATTTTGGCTTGAAGTTCATGAAGCTGTTTCTTCAAATCAGCATTCTGATTAGAAAGAAAAAATATCTGTGAGAAAGATATTCCATTTGTTAACATGGAGTAGTAGCAGGAAGGTGGTTTGTTTTTTTGTTTTGTTTTTGCATAGTGTACTACAAATACAGCACCTCTGGATGTACAGCCAATAAAATTCAAGAGGCTCAAAAAAGCCTGACTTAAGTCACTGAGTGCAACAATAATCAGAGGACCTTTCCAGCACTCAGAGAGTGACAACTCAGATTGGAATGAAGATTTCATTAAAACATCCATTAGTGCTTATTACACTATAAAAAGCACATTGGTACATTTCATCAAGTTTACAAATTAAACGAGAAATGTTTGTTAATATATAGAACAACAGCATCATACCGTATATAACAGCATGCTATGGTATCTTATCTAAACCATTCTCACCTATGCTAGTTATGCAAAGACATTATACATTTAACTGTACAGAGCATCAAACATATCTATTAAATCTTAACTGACATACATATCAAATAAAGGCAAACATATCCAAGTCTTAATTTCCATATGTGTTTATGCCTTAGACTGTACTAAAGGGAATTACATTTGCCTTACCACATCATTCATATCACTACTTTGTGTACAATAGCTTTTTCTTAAACTAAAGATTTGAAAGCCATAAGCATCACTACAAAGATACACACAGAAAACAATTTTTACCAGGACTTTTTCTTTCCTACTAAAAATAAAATAAAACTTAAAAAAAAATCTGTCCATTGTTTAAAACCAATGAAGCTCTGCAGAAACATGACAGGGAAGCAAGTACTTCTTAATTTTTCTCTTTTTCCACTTTTTTTGTTCTCATTTACATCTAAATTTTTTACACTAGATTACGCAGGTTCAGTGCTACATAGAAAAATTAAAACATAGGACTAATATCATTACAGGTACTACATGCTCAGGGCATATTCCCTATTTTTATATTCCTCCATTCAACTCTGAAATGCATTACAATCTCAGCTTGTAGATACTCTTCTCCATTTCTAGCAAAACCAAATATTGCCAGTCATCCCCCTTTCTTTTAGATTCCACCTAATAATCTGGGATAAAAATGCATTAAGAGCATTGGAAGCAGAGACCAGGTTTACTCTTCCTGACTCTTGGAACTTTGCATGGCCGCTCACAGCATGATCTCACTTTCAGCAGATATAAACTGAAAACAAACTGCTCTGCAGTCTAATTGTTAACACACCTGCCCAGCGAGTAAGGGTAGCACAGACCTTACCCAAATCCCATCAGAATAAGGAAGTTCTAGAAAACAGATTTTCCAATACACCCTACTTCCAGTTCAACCCTCCCTGACAGGGGTCCAGCTACTTGACAGTTATTAAAAACTGTCTTCACTGAGCTCAAAAAAAAAAAAATACATTCAGAAAAATTACAGGGCACTTACTAATGTACGGGGATGGGAGCATTTAATATAGCAAGCCTCAAGTGACCTGCCTTTATCCCTCTCCTTAACATTTCAGACTGGTTTGAGAACTCCACAGAATTCCCCATTCAGCAGAGTGCTTAACTGCTGTACAGTAAATACCCAGTCACCTTACACAGTTATTGGAAAAAGGATAACTTCTGCTGTCTATGCAAGGAGTCTAGTTATCCAACCTCAGTAGCTCTGAAACTTCCCAAGGCCAAGTGCCCACTCTTTGGACACTACAGTGCTGCTAAGATACCTAAGACAGGCAATAAGGACATAGCCTTATGCTACATTATTTGAACAAAATTTCTTGGACAGAATATTCTCTCACTTCTTGTACTGTGAACCTTCTGATACTCAAAAAAATAAAAAAGCTATTTCTAACAATGGTACCTTTTATAAAGAACAGCTTCTAATAGAATCATAAACTTACTGCACATTTGAACAGCACCAAAGCCCACAAGGGTCACTTGACTTAAACCAATAAGGATATATATGAGGTAAAAACTCCATAATGGCAAGAGTTTTGGTTTTGTTTTAAACTATCCAACAGTCATTGTATCAAAACATTTTCATAAGTTTTCTTCTAAACACTGTGTTAGCAAGAAAGGATGTGATCAAGAAATATCTAAAATTCTCAAGCTTCATGCACTATTAATTCCTCCATTTTTAAGGGTAAATAATCCAATATAAAAATAAATAGTTACCTGTGGATCTTGCTTCATTTGGGCAACCAATTTCTAGAAAGAAAACAGATGCAACAATACAATGAAGGCTTCATTACAGATCTTGTTGAAGAGTTTAAAATTCAGTATTTTTGAAGAACTTTTGTAAAAGCAAAATACTTAGTTTACAGCATTTCAGTAGCAAGGCCTGGAGTCCAGTATTATATAATTTCCAAACCCATTCTTATTAATATAGTAAAACAACTGTACTAAGCCATCACTTCTGCTCCTCCTCAATAGCTCTTGAATAAGTGATGCTTTTTAAAGACAATTTAAGCCAGCTGGGTAAGATAATCTAATAGCTGTGTCTCTTCTAGAACTGCTGCCTTCTTTGCCTGCAGTCACAAGAAACACAAATCACAGATAATCGCTGCAGGCACAAAAGCTGTTTGTATATTCAAGAGCACAATGTTTCAAGTACTATGGCTCCGCCTGTGTGTTGGCTCAGCTGGTACCAGATGGAAGACCCATGTTCAGAAGTATCTTTGCCACTTTTCTCCCTCAAAAAGAGATTAAGATCATTGTAGAAGAGATGCCCTCCACATCCAAGGGAAAGCAGACAGATTGTTACCATTCACCATTCTTCCTCCTTCGCTTCCTTTAGGCAGCTGCAGGAGAATGCCGTCTATTGCTAAGCAAGAAAAAAGTCAGCGACGGAAAACAGAGCCCAGATTGAAGAGACAAGGTAAACCAAAAATTCCCCATTTCTTTTTTGGTTACAGCCACATTTATTCATCACATCACCATGTCCCTTCCCCACATGCAAAGAACCACGTAAAGTCTCTACTTTCTTCTTCATTTACTCATCAGAATCAGGAAAAGGAGTGAAAAACAGAAGGACAAAGCAAGCAAGAAAAACACATGTTCTATTCCGCCTGCATTGATACCACTCAGAGAATTCAGACTGTCAGCTAATTCTCTTTAAAAGTTTATTTCCTTTCATATCCTAAAAACTGTACTAAAAAAAAAACAAAACAAAAGAGAATTTTGCATCAGACCACAGGTTTACCTGCTGCATTTTCTAGTAGTAGCCATTACCAAAAAACAGATGCATTAGCAGAGAGTCTATGCTGGACAAGCATACAGAGTTATTTCTCATCTTTCAAAAATTTACATCTCTGATGTCTTCAAAGATTACGTCTTAGGTTTAATAGCTGGTAGCACACATTTCTTTGATTTATCTGCCTTAATTACTTTTTAAACTCAGGAAAACACTCTAGATTCTGTGACAATAAGTTCCCAAGTTAAACTAAAGGACTCTTATGTAAAAGGATGACCTTTTTCTTTTGAATCTGTCTCCTTACAATGCAAGCATGAGAGACTAATACAATTACAGAAAACCAGAGTTGACTTGAGTCAAAAGGAGTTGGAAGTTGGACTCAATGATCCTTACAGGTCCCTTCCAACTCAATATTATACGATTCTATGGCTGCTTCTCTATTCAGCTTCTTCCTACATTTTTTCCACAACACATATTCCCCTATCAGTCATCACTTTTTCAGATTGAGAGTCTCCTCATGCACAAATCATTCCATTGCTTTGTTCACTCTTGGCACTCTTCCCTGTACTCTTCTCTAGTTTGCCTCTATCATCTGGAGACAAAGTTTAAAACTGCATGCAACACTCAGGTACTCTGTACTGCAAGAACTCCCTCCACTGTCCTAACTGCCAATTCACAGCCTGCTATTGCAGCTGTAAAACTGAGCCTGTTTTTCCAAAGTGCATCAGTTGGCATTTATCTAAGCTGAGCATTATTGTTTCGTCATGCTGCCATTCAGCGTCACAGGCACACTCAGCTTATTTTTCTTTGCTGCTTCCTGCCACATTGGAATTTGACAAGCAACAGATCTGTTAGTTTTTATACAAAGTGCTCCTGCAGACACAGTCGTAAGACAATACAGTCAGTACTGTAAACTGTTCACAAGGCATTGCTAAATTTATGAATCACAAAGCATTGCATCACCCAATCCTAGGGAAAAAAATATCTTCTTTTGCACTGACCACAAACAGAAGTTAAATTTTAGATATTTTAAAACATACTGATCTTTCTGGTATGAAATAAGGAAAATTATGGTTTAGGTTCTTTCCCCACATCAGTTCAAGGAATCATCCACAAAACCCAATCCTTCTGTAAGAATAGCTAAATATAACTTCTTTAACATCTCTTGTGATCAAAACTATGAAAAGCAGACTGCTTCAAAATAACCTTAATTACGTCAACACAGTAGCAGAATGAAGTACTTAGATTAGATGCATTTCTTCTCAGGACAATCAATATAGCTTTGACATTGAAGCTATTTGAATATTCAAGTTGTATTACACTGATATAGCAAGTGATCTGGTCAGATGTCATTCATGGAGGATTCTCTGTAGAAATGAACCCAAAAAGTAGCTTTTTCTAAACAACGCAACACCTCCTTTGGGTCCTTACTGGTAGTTTAGGACTCACTTTGTCAAAGCAGCATTTTGAAAGCTTCAGACAGTTCTGGAGGTGAAATAGAATAGGCAGGAAACAAGGAGCTATTCCACAAACACAACCACAGTCATATTGAACATCACTTTGTACAGCCATGGAAGCAGTCACAAGCAGTACACTGCATCAGGAACCTGGGAGGCTTTGACCACAGTGCTGAGCTGAACTCCGTACAGGATCACAGACACCCATGACCACTTGCAATGGGACAAAAAAACACGACTGTAAGAGTGTTGGCAAGCTTTTCTAGAGAGTCCTCAGAAAAAGAAATACTAGATAAGTAAAAGATGACAAGAGACACTGCTCCCTAAATCCTGAACAAAAAGAAGGGATATACTGTATCTCTTCAGATTACAAAATTCAACGCTATGCAACAAAGTTCAAGCATTTCCTTGAAAGATTTCTTTTTTTGTGCCAAAACTAGTTTAATTTCTATCAGTGTCCATTTGACAACAACAGTTCACAAAAGTTTATTCAAGCACTCAACATGTCGTTGCAAGTGTTATTTTCCATCATAAACATATACTTGTTCTTAGCCCTAATTATAGAAATATATGGCATCTTGAATTAAGACAACTTTTTGATATAATGGCTTTTCTAGTTTCACCAACTAAACCCAAATTTAATTAAAGTTTATTTCAGTTCAGAGCTCACTTTTAATGAGGATTGGGCAAAGCTAAAGCAAACAGGGTCAAAAAAAAATTTAAGGTGTTAAAAAAAGGCTTTTTGGACATATTCCAGTCTTCATCCCTGTTCAGCATCATCATTATGAACAGATGCTAAACATTATTCAAAATTCACAGTCTTAAAATTTTTGGTTAGCTTAGGCATAAAGGGGAATGAAGATACCCACAAGAGGTAAACACTGTTATACAAACACAAGTAAGACTAGCATTCTGATCACTTTCCAGAAGATAATACTTGAAAAAATTACTTTCTGGCCTCAGATATTTCTATGTTTACAGCAAAATGGCATGGGTAATTTCTGAACTTCCTTACCCCCATAACAAGACTTCATTGTTTGAATGCAAGGGCCTTGGGAGTTTCTGAGGAGAGCAAAATACTCATCTCTAGTTCTGGAAATCCATCTTCAGCTTTTTCAAGTTTTATTTTGTTAAAGCAGACATAGTTTCATTTTAATAATTCACCCATTTGACTTCCTGCAATCTGCTCATCATTGCATCAAGAACACTTTTTAGACAAGTCACCAAGTAATAAGGAAACATTTTCTAAATTTTATATGATGGGTTAAACTGATCAGTGCAACTTATGATATATTTTTTTAATCCACTGTGTAACAGTTGTGAGTTTCAGATATCTGGAGAGCTCCATGAATACTTGGAGAACTGTGTTTAGAAAAGGATTCATTGATAAATTTAACATTTCAAATTGGCAGCTACTCTGTGTCTATGGCTGTAACAATTTTGTTCCAAGAATTAATATGCATATGTCCTCTTACATTTGCTAAATTAGGTTTTATTATTATTATTTCTAATATTTCCTCGATTGCTTTGTAACAGAATTGCAAAATGCAACTCTACTGCCATATAGTATTGGACAGCCTACCGGTAAAAGACCCAGTGTAAAAATTTCCAAGCCCAAGCACTACAACATTTTGGTTATCAAAAATATACAAGTTTAGAAAGTACTAAAGTAGAAGACACTCCAGAAGAGAAGCACCAGATGAAATCATGCAGTACTATATACATTTCACTTTAAAGTTCCTCCACCATATTCCTCCATTGCCAACTGAATACTGCAGTTGGCTTCAGAACATTAGAAAAACCTTTCAGATAGAGGCTGTTGAATGTAGAGTTCTCAAAATGTTTTTATTACTGCTACAAAATATTAAAAAAAATCCCCACCCACAGATTGATATGTAGATTTTTCACATTTGCTTAAAAACAACAGGTGGTGGGGTCAAAATGCAGAGTATAAAATTCTTAAGTATTCTGAGCTTATAAAACAATTATTACTATAGTTGTAGTGCTACTGCTTAATGCTCCCATTAGTAGTAATACTGTCAGCAATACTAACGCTGCTATTACTTGAAAGTTTAAAGCAAGAAAGAATACAAATTACCTGGTGAACCTGAATTTCCACTTTCAGAGCCTCCTGTAGAGTCTGCAGCTCCATTCTCTACCTTCTCCACTTTTTCTAAAAGTGTCTTTGCTGATTCCAGTGCCTTTAGTTTCTGGTTCCCTCTTTAACACCAGTCCTACAGAAAAAAAAAGGTTTTGTTTTGGTTTGACAATTTGAAGAAAGGAGATTATAACAGAGCAGGAATTCAATAGTGAACTACATTCAAATGCAGCTTTCTAGCCTAAACACAGTCTATTGAACACAAGAAATCTACAGGCTCTACAAAATCCCTGCCTTGGAGTCATTTAGCCAAATTTGTTACTTCCCACATATCCCAAAGTTGACATACTTGTCCCTTATCTTAGTTCGCAGGCAGCTATTTCCTATCGATACCCTATTGCAGTTGCACATTAAATTAGAAAATTTACTACTGAGAATGTTTTAAAAATCTGCGTAGATGTAAACATATTCCGAAGACTGAATTTAACAATTTGGGTTGCAGAATTTTAATGTACCGCATTAACATACTTCCATGATACTGCAGAGCTGTTCTTGGATGGGACAGTGTGCATGCAATTCGACAAAACAACGTTAATATACTAATAAGCTACTGCCTAAAGTTTGTGTTGAGTTAGTCATTTCAGTTGAAATCTGTTCTGAAGGAGCATAAAATTCATATAAAGCAGCACAAGACTTTTTCAAAATTATTAATTTTAAAATCCTTTTCATCTTGGAATTCTACTTTTAGATCACAACTATGAGTTTACCATCTTCACTTGTACTACAAACAAATTAATGCCCCCAACCTCTGACACAGAAAAGCATTATCAGACAAATTTCTAAAAGCCTTGAAAGTTGGACAAGAGATTTTTGTTCAAAAATACATTAAAAGTATCAGCTTCTGAAACACGATTAAGATTCCCATATGCTCAAATCATAGTGGAACCTACTTAAAATCCATCTATAAATACATATAGATAAAAGCCATTGGAAAACATTATATAGCAATCCTTTCAGTCACTTTTCCATCCAGACACCTTAATTAAAGAATTTCTGTAATGTTAAAATCATTCCTTTTTTTATTTTTTTGCAAATTGCTCACAATTATTGCACAGGTATTGTTGCCAACTCAGAGGTCTTCATAACCAGACTACAAGGTTTCCAAAGGATACTGACAGTTTAGATTAGACATGTAGGCTGTAAAAAGAGAGTAATTCCCATAAGTTAAAGACTTTAATGTTGTCTCAGTACAGTAAACTGAAGTGCTGGACAAGTTTGTGCATTCCTGAAAATAAAAAGGTTGAGGGTGTGTGTTTTGTTTTGTTTATTTAAATTAATCATTTCTCTTTTCAAAAAGAAATATGTTACAAAAAGAGAAGACTATAAAGGGGGTTTTAAAAGCATTGTATTTATATAACTCATTCTTTGCCAGTGCTGTCTGCTGTTAGCTTAAAGTTACTTATTTAAATAACAAAGGCCTGATCAGACTTTCTAGCCAACACATGAAATGACCTGCTGCAAGGGCCTCTCCCACATGTGACACAGATGAGCGAAAACAGCTGCCTTTGCAGCACTACTCTCTATAAAACTGTAATTTCTATCAAGGGATACATGGAAATTACATATAGTTCCCTGACCTATTACCACAAACAGTAATGAGAAAACAGAATCCCAGATTATTACTTCCACTCACTGACAAGAATAATGATAACATGCTTTAAGTCCCTACCACTGCAGTTTCAAAAGAAACTATGCTTCAGAAAACCACGTGGGAGATTGGTTAATGAAAACTGGAACCCACTGCAGAGAAAAGAAGTCTTTCATGAGCCATGGAAATTCGATTTTGGGGTAAAGACACAGGCAGGTATGGCCATAGTTTCTTTCTCAGTGTGTCTTCAACAAATGAGAAGGCACACATGATGAACAGTTTGTATCACTCGGTAACTACATGCCAAGTTCAAAGTTAAGTGCAGAACAGGGGAAGAGACAGTTATCTCAACTGACAAGATAAATAATATTCATCATTTTAATACATGTAACTGTAAAGGCCAATACCAGTTCACAGCAAAAATGACATAGTACTTCTGTAAAAAAAAAAATATAAAGATTGAGTAATTACTATTAATGCACAACTTCATTTGACAGATAGAAATTATAGTATTGATGGTACATAAAAGTTAATCCAAGCTAATTGCATCTATGTCTTGAACAGCTAGAAAGAGTTTTCAAAATTATTTTTAAGGGGTTTAAGAAGAAAGTGACACTGCTTTGCAGAAACAAGTGGTTGCTTAGCCTAGTCAAGTGTATAGGGGTATAGACATGAACAGACGTATTTCATTTAAAAGTTCAGTCAAGTTGCCAAATTCTGAATATGAAATATATACAGTTGTTTCCATCTGGAACGTGCACTTATAGCTTCCCTTCCCAAGCAAGAATAACTATCCAAAGTTATCCCTGTCCAGAATTCCCCTCAAGTACCTTACACACCCAATGTTAAACAACCAATACAAAAAAAGAAAAAAGTGATCATTCCTTACATCCAGCAATACCTAGACTGTATTTTTTCTGGTTTACATAGAATAACATCTAGAAATATCTATCAGGGCATCTGGTTAAACATTGCTCATACTTTCTTTGAAAGGAGGTACAGAACTACATAAGCAAGTGGTTACATATTTTAAAAGTGCACATATCTTCAGTATTTTTGAAATTTTATTCTTTTAGACTGGACTTCAAGGGAAGATTTAAAAACTTAAGTCCAGTAGTATTATAACTACCTACAATACCACATTCAAAGAGGTATAAAACCACCTCTGGATTAATCATAAAGCATAGTGCATTTTCCACTTTACTCTTACGACAGTGGAATTATTTTAATTAAAAAGCTTGTAGATGACTGAAATTGCATGGATGGGTTGGTCGGCAAAAATCCTTCATTCCTTTAGTTTTTAAAGGAAAACATGCAAATTCTTTATTTAATGGCAGAACCAGTAATTTCCAAAAGGAAAGCAGAGGACTGACAAGTACACGCATCTCTTGTACATCCAGACATACTTCCAAGTTTCAGCCAGAAAGAACACCGAGAGCAAGAGGTAAATTCACCATTTTTTGGATGGATTTCAACAATTGGAGGCGGCAGCAGTCCTCCATTCAACTTCTTGTTGGCATTCCTTTGTTCCCAATAACCACTTATTTCTTAAGTGGTTGCTTCAAGACTTGAACATACTCAGAAAAGTACCCCAATGCACTGCATTGGGTAGCACATGTTTATAGACTATTTAAATATTCAGAGACTGAATGAAACCTTCAGCTCTATAATAATCACATAAGCGCATTCACACTTCTCTGTTATCTCAATTAAATACAATCCACATCAGAACCTCTAAATTATCACAATGCTATTTAAACTATGGCTCTTTTGGAAGCTACACTAGAAACACAGCTGACAAGGTATATATATTTATATAAACAAAGGCAGGACACACACAAAAGCCATGAATGCCTTCTGTGTGTATGCAAGGTCTCCAAGTAACTTAGAATTTTAGAGAGAAGCCTTTCTGCACCAAAACCCCCTTAAAATAAATTTGGGTCTCACATTACATAGAAAAAAAACCCCAAACCTTAACATTATTGTTTTTGAGTAGATGAATTTAAATGTCCATTGTACTTAGAGACCCCTGGGCCCAAATATCAGTCCTACACAGATTTTATTTATAAGACTGAGGCTTCCATCAGTAACATTTACTTTTTAAGATTTAATTTATGAATACAAGAATAGATAGGATTTCAGTTTCAGTAAGCATCAAACTTTTCCAGAAATGGATGCCAGCTCTTCATATCATCTATTCTTAGGTAAGCCCTTTTAGCCCTAGGAAGAAGTACTTACCAGTTTTGAGTAAGTTATCCCTTTCAGCTCTCCACTCTCTCCTACAAAAGAAAAACATCAACAGAAAAAAAGATTATTACATAAATTTTAACTACAGTTTGAAATAGAAAAAGAAATTCAAATATTTGGAAAGTTGGAGGGGGAAGAGTTGTTGTTTTAGGAGGGAGTTTTTTGTTTGGTTTCTCTTGGGGAGCGGGGTTGGCATTTTTTTTTTAAATGCTGAAGCTAACTATAAAACATCAGTTGGAAAGAAAATCTGTTTGACATGGTAGGGAAAACCAAGGAGACTTACAATTCTAATCTGGATTAAAATACAAACTATTACTGTCATTAGGGGGAGAACAGATTATAGCTACAAGTTTTTCTAGTTCTGTGCAAGGGCAGTGTCCCCCTCCCGTGGAGGACATACTTTCACTTTATCACATTTATTAAGATCTGAATCACAAGCCCTGTCAGTTGCCACAGCTAAATATGACAAGATTACCCACCTTAGACATCTGCCCACCACCTCTGCCAGAGGATATACCAACAGAACAAATATGGTAGAGTAGGTGGTACAACAGCACAGTCACTAGAGCTCAAACCCCAGAGTACTAATGTAAACTGAAATCAACAGCAGTTTAAGCCAACATAGTAGACCATGAAGTGTGGAGGCCGAGAAGATACACTGTCCATTACATTGCCTGCATCACAGGAAGAATATTCAGTAGCATAGCAAGGCAATACCTCTTCAATCATCCTCATATGAATCATAAAATACTCATGAGCCAGAGTTCTAAAAAGATAGTCACAATATAAATGATAACTCATTGCTTGATTATTTTGACTGATGCTAAAAAAAAAAAGCCTCTAAAATACTTCCAATTTTCTAGTAAAATACTAGAATATTAGCATATTTTAAGCTTCAACTGCACAGCTAACAAGACCTTTGCATATATGTTTTTATCCACACACAAGTCATCACAGGGCTGAAGTTTAAGGCCCAGCCTTATAAAAAGATCCAGCAGTAGAAAAGCCACATAATTAACTCCCGCTCATTGGAGACCAGCACAAGTGGAGTTTCCATTTACTAACCAGCAGAACTGTGTGCTGATGAACACTGAGAACAGAAAACAGGAAGCCTACTGATGACAGAGACTGTATTGTCAGTCTCCTAATCTCAAATTTTATTGTGCATTTTGAACAACACAATATTACGAAGATGTTTAATTTTAGAGCAATTCCAGGTTAGTTTAAATAATATCCAACTGTTAACATGGCAGGTTATGAACTTCGGAGTATGGGCTATTTTGAGGTTATATTCACTCTAGGTGCTACAGAATTTGAAAAGCTCTCATTGTTGAGGGCACTGAAGAGATAGGTATGATTCTCAAACTCTAGTTGTTTCTTTTCTGATATTAAAATCTCACTTGTCACCTCCACCTCCCACTATAAGTTAGCTATTTAATTGGTCCAAAAATCTACAGACTAAGCTTTTTCATTATGCAATCATTACCTGTCCCTCTTCAACAAGCAATTACAACTATATGCCCATGCTATTAATAAAATAATAATTTAAAATAAATCTCACTGCTGTAGATGACTGACTTTGGAAAGCTAAAGAAAACAGTCAGTACTACACATCCACAAATGCAGTCTTAGAATAAACAAACATAATTTTTATATAAAAAAGAAAAATATCAATTTATTTGTAGCACAAGTACATGCAAACTGATGAGAAAGCTGTCACTTAAAAATAACAGCAACTGTTCCTTCCTTCCTTTTTACCCCCCTACGTAGAGACTCGCCTCCATAGCAGGACCCCAGCTTCATCAAGCTGGAAAAAAAGCTGCACAGTTACAAACCTTCAGATTGCATTTAACCACTCTGAAGGGCTGCAACCCCAGCCTGAGAACCCAGGGGCTCCCAAGGACAAAGTTAGGAACACCAGGAGCTGAAACGTGACTATCTGAGTGAATTACTGTGTTGCCTTGGAGAAGTCACTTAGAGAGGGCCTAAACAGGGAATGGAAATATATTTGCATCCTTTTCCATACGTAATTTACTACAGGCTTTTTCTTAAGAGCTTAGAACAGGTTAATGTTTAAAGGTCAAACCTTTGGCAACACAAAATACCTTAATTCTGCCCTCCTGCAGGTATACTATTTTTACTGACATCTCTGCCTCATTTAGTAGAGGACAAGATTAAAGAATAAGGCAACAGTTGAATACTTCTTTTCATTCTGAGCTTTCAGTTTGCATGCTTTTTTAAACTCAACATTGAAGATTGATTGTTGACAATCTGATGTTACTGCTACTAATATCAATATTACTAACAGGAAAGGCAGATTGATATATACATACACTTACAGTAGTAGTACCCACTCCAGACCCCAAAAAAGGCTCTTAAACTTTTAAAGAATTCTATATAACTTATGTAACAAAAAATAAACCACCATTACCAAAACAATCATATCCTGCAGATCAACTTTAAGCTTTTTGTTGAGGTTTGCAAATAAGGAGAAAAGTTACTCATTTCATGGACTTGTTACAAAACCAAAGATCTCAAAACTCTTATGTTTAAAGCTTGGCAGCCTCTGAGAACACTAGAACACATGGTGGTGAAAACATTTTAGCATACAGCACCTGAAGGTTTAAGACTATTTAAATGCTAATTATCTGTATATTAAGATGTCTGATTATAACTTATTATTACCTTTAAGTTACACAATAAAGCTTGTGCTACTACAACCAGTGACTTGTTTGGAAAAAAATGGGAAAAATTAAATGTCACGTGTAGCCATTTTTTCTTAGCTTTTTTCCTAACTCTAGAAGCTAGCACACGTTTGCTGTCAGACCACAGAACTTTATACATTCATATCACAAAACAATATTTAATTATTTTTTATTTTTTGCCAATAGGACCTTGGCCCTGTTCAATGCACAGGATGCACTCAGACAAGAAAGGACTAATTGCTGTGCACAGGCAATTTTAAGCCTGATATTCTTCCACATTTCAGAGCATTGCTTGACAATGTTAAGGGTAAAGCATTAATTAAAAAAAAGTGAAACTAGGTTGGGGGGGTTGTGCAAAATACACCACACACAGAATGGATTCCAAGTTTTTTCTTTTGTTTTAAGATGTTAACTCCTCAAAGCAACAGCTCTCCTTTCCACATTTGAAAGACATCCTGTATATAGAGAGCACTCTATCAGTATATTCTAGGAAAACAAGTCATAGCAGTTACTTTACTGTGATTTTCAAGTCGGAAATGAAACAACTCATATTCCATAAGAGGACGGATTTCTGCAGTCTTAAGAAAAAGACCAAACATAGTCCAGACAGAGGGTATACAAGCTATTCAAACGACATTACTATAAGGTTCATGTTTCAATGACCATCGTTAGCAGTACCCATGCTGTTGCTTCTGTGATTAAAAAAAAAAAGCCTTTCATGTGCCAGTGCACAGAATCTGATCTTCCTGTTGTGCTGCAGCTGGGAGAACTCCCAGTCAGCCCCAGTAACACATGCCAGGCTAGTGTTACAGGGACCAACAGGACCGCCCAAGATAAGCGACTCAAGTACACACAAGTGTACCAGTCATGCCTTCCAGTTTGTCGCCCGTATAACTCCTTTATAACTGCACTCTCTTCCTCTTTCCCCATCCCCACACAATACTGGTAGATAATGTCCACTGAAGAGTTACCAAGGAGCCTGGATTTTCTACTTATGCATGCAGGCAACTTATAGGATTTAAACTACAGGCTTCAGTTCTGCCTCCAAGTTCCTTTGGTTGACATAATTAGCCATGAAACAAATGCAATTTGGAGTTTAAGACACCAAAGTTGATTTCACTTGGGGATAGATTGCTTCACCTTCTCTGAAACATCTTCTAGACCCTCAAACTAAGTTTAAATAAAAGTGTGTGATGCCATCATTTACTGAAGCAGTACTATACTTAACATATAGAAAATGAGCTAAAAGACTCATTACAGTTCCAAAGACCATCCCTAGCGTAAAGATAAAACCATTGTGCAATCTGCTTTTTAAAATATCGGCCGACACTTGCCATTGCATCAAACACATAAACAGAGGACGATTACCTTCTTAGCTCTGCTTGTCCTGTGACTATAGCTCTATTGGGCATCAGTAACTCTTCCTGAATGCACTCTTTCCTAGCATCTCGGGGGTGAGATGGGAGATGAGATCACACTCTCCAGCAAAATGATAAACCACATTTGGCCTAGTGGAAAGTTAGCATAAACATGTTTTAAAATCTTGGGATCGTCTCTCTCACCTGAGCAGTTTCAAGATATGTGGCTTTGCACTTTTTACCCAAGCACAAACCCCTCTTCTTTGCAGAGTCTTAGCGTATTTCTCGAATCAGAGAAGCCTCTCTAAACTATGACCATTAGTAAGCCTGGTGGAAGTTCTTCCTGACTTTACACCAAGGGCTCAATGTATTTCCCATCTAATCTGACATTCATAAAATCACCAGCAGTAAAATTCTCCTTTTTCTACCCAGAAACCACTGCATGGGGATGTTTTACAGCACTGTTGCATTCAGAAGTTCTAGTACTGCAGACAGAGAAATATGAAGGACACCATTAAAGCCTCACTTTGCTCAGTGAGTTATTATTCATCAGTTTTTAGAAAAACAAAAAATCACCTCCTATGCAGAGTGGCTAAATTCTTGCTCATATAAAAAAGTTGTATGACCTGAACTTTTATTGTAGTGAATTATTTTATTATTTAGAAGGACTGTTAATCTATACACACAGTAAGAGAACCCCCAGTCCTAATTACGTCTGTAAGTTTATACTTTACTAACAGTGCAACAGCAAAGTTTCACATTTGAAGCAGGAAGCTAGGGAATTTTTTGCAAAATCAAAATGCAAATGATGTAAAGATCTAAATCAGTGAAAGTCAGAGTTTAGTACTTGTTTCTAAACATTTTTTGCTATATTACTCCACATTTCATAAAGCTGCTGGAAATGTGGATTGTTTGGGGTTTTGGTGTTTTTTGGGTTTTTTTGTTTTGTTTTTAAAAAACATTGTTTTT